GTCAGCGACCATGGAAGAGATGATTGCGCTAATTCACGAAATGCAGAAGAAGGTTCAGGCGCATCTGAAGTTGCAATGAATGGCTGCGCTAAGCCTACAGAACAGCAGCTTAGAACTGACCGCCTTATGTAGTTTTCTCGTTTTTCTTAGCCCGCAGCCCATGGCTGGTGCGACTTCGAAGAAGCGGCGATGGCAAAGTGTCTCATCGTTGCCAGGCTCATGATGTACCGAGACTCAGCGCGACACCAGGAGCTAGGTCTTCAGGTAAATTCGACCACGCAGGATGAAGTGCCCAAAGGGGTTTTGTGACTTTGCCCACTTCGGGAACTCGTGCAGAGCACAGCACCCAATATGGAAAGACAATTGTGACCTGCACTGATATGGAGGGCTGCGAAAATCTGAGAAAGCGGTTCCTTAAAGAATGGAGATCCTGAAGCTGTATCCAACAAATGAGGACACGTCGGACATGGTACAAATTTCAGCGCTGCGCAGCACGACTTCTTTTATTTTACACAAGCAGAAAAAAACAAAAGCAGTAACCCTGACTGTATCTAGGCCCCATCGTGAGTTGTATACACGGAGCTCCAATACTTGTTTCTTATTTCTCAAATATTTGAGCAATCAAGGCCTGCATCTCCCTTTCCAGGTAGGGCGTGTTTTTCTCGAAACTTGAACTCCTTGACGGTGAACCCAACCGAGTTTGACGACCAGCGTGCAGAGTCAAGGTTAATTGCACCTCATGGAGCAGCGCGCAGCCGCTAGACTGCGATTGCCCCGAAATTGAATTCGGCATTCAATTCTGTTCGCAGCCATTCTTCTTTCTGGTTGCAAGGGTTGGAATCAGCACGTTTGACCCGCGTGAAGGGTAAGTTTCATCGTTCTGAGCTTGCACATGCTTCCCAACACTCTTTGAAGTGGCATCCGATATTGGGTTGAAGCAGTACTCAAGAAGAGTCTGGTACGCAACGCGCTTGTCTTCGCCTGGTGGCTCTCAGTTCACATGGGGACGCTGTGCTCATTGTGCTTACTGAGTTACTGTGCTCACTCCAAGGCCTCGTCCGAGGCCTTCCAAATTTTCCGTTGCTGTTGTGGGCTCTGAGCTCCTTCAGCCCATTGCCAGCAGGAACTGGGAAGCGAAATTCGTACGTTTCAAATGCATTTCTGTATTTCGTATGATGTGCAACAGCTTGACAGAGTCTGACGTAAGCTTGGCACAGGACATGCATCGGTTGCACCGGCTGTACAACCGCAAAGACCACCCGGATCTTATCAAGGACCGCCTCGACCGCCACATTCAAGACAATCTTGCCAGAGGCTTCTATCCTTGTCCACACCAGGACTTCCCACAGCAGCGACCTCCCCGACATTGCCGGCTTCAGCAACTTGGATGCCGGAGGCACAGGCGCCTTCTTCCTTCCGACAATGAGGGCTGTGAGAAAGATCTAGTCGGAAATTGGAGTAACGGGCAATGCTGACCAGGGCAGGCGGCTGCAAGAGGACGTGGCAGAGCCCAGCTCTTAGACCTTTCTGGCCTGTTGAGTAGGGGCTTCTTACCTTTTTTGGGGGGTGGGCTAAGGTTGTTCCGCTTTCTGTCTGCTATCTTCCACTTTATGCTGCGCTTGCCATGTGTTGTGTTTGCTACTGTCTTACTTCTCTCTCTCTCTCCCCTTTTTCTTTGTTACTGTCTTCACTCTCTGTTTTCCCATGCCACCGCCCCCACACCGTCATCGCCCTGGACATCATCTCGCAATTTGGCGGAGTTAGGGCCGAGGGTGTTTAGTAAATCCCGTCGTCCGCAAAAGTTTTGCAGCTTTGCAGAGGGCGTGAACTGCCTTATCCTTGCGTCATATGGTTCAAGTCAGGGATCCGCAGTAGGGCGAGGAGGGGCTGCATCTTCTGTGGCAGCTCACGCCTCAAACTTAAACCGAGAACTCTACAAACTGTAAGTAGCGGATATGTGTGCCAATGCCATGATTGGGCGAGGGTCTTCCGATGCTCAGGGTTTCGGAATTCGGGTTTAGAGATGTGGAGATGAGCGACTAGAGAGATGAAGCGTACAATTCAAACAGGGGCTACATTAATAGTGAACAAATATTCTGACACGGGGGGCTGAGGTTCGCCAGCCTTAGCTGCGACTTCGAGACGGATCTGTGTTTGTGGGCCAATACGGCGTCAGTGCTCTGGACAAGGACATCTGGGTCCACGCTGAGTCCAGGCAGGTGACGGCGATGTTTGAAAAAGAGCACTACACTGTCGTCGTTGCATGGTGCGCTGTCGAGCCAAGGAATGGAAGGGGGAGTTACAAGCTTGGAGCCCGCAGGAAGAACATTGTAGCAGGTTGAGCGTTGTTGAGGCAATGCTGGTCTTTCCATACAGACTCTTACGCAAGAGCGAACAAACAAACAAGAAAACCGCAGGAAAAAGGGAGCGCGTAGGAGCACCTGCTGCAAAGAGCTCCCTGCTGTTCCCCGCTACCTAGGTTCCAACAGGCTTGAGACGGCTGGAATGAAAGAAGCAGCTCTCGCTTGTGATACATTCTACACAATCTCTTGCGAGAGTGGGAAGTTGTACTCTGGATTGCGAGCCTTCCCGGCAGTTTGGCAGAATCCATCATCTACCAACGATAGGGACCGCCCAGAAACGATTGTCCGAGATTAGTTAATTCATGGTATCCTCCCCGCCTTTTCCGGTGCCGATAGACTTCGCTTTCGCCGGGTCAGTGGGTAAAATGTTGCAAGCAGATTATGCGTGCTCCCGACTTGCCACTGCCCTACTGGCTCTGTCCGTCCGACTTGCCCCACTACACCAGCTTGTAGGCTTGAAAACTGGCATTTCGAAGCATGCGCTGCCAGGCACTGGTCCGGAAGCTGCAGTCGAAGGCTCTTACTATGTGTACACAGAGGCAGGGCTCCGCATTTTCTCGATTATCGCATTTTCTGGTTCCAGTACTCAGTACTGTCTGCGGTTCTGGCGGTAGTGGCGTGGGAAGGGGCAACGACTGCCGGGTAGCTAGCGAACAGCATGGTCCCACGCGGCGTTGTTTGGGCATGTGCTGCATCATCGTCCCTGTGTTTCCAGTATGATAGGTGTGAAAGCAGCACACAGATGGGCATTGCATGGTCGTCAGAGGCACCCCCGCCATGAACATGAGAGGTTGAAGGAACCGTGGCTCCCAGCCTGTGTCTTCAAAAATCCCGCAAAGCTCTCGAAGAACACTCGGCATTTCTCTCTCTGAATGCACGCAATTGCACGCACAAGCCAGTAGAAGACAGGCTGCGATAAAGGCCTCGGAGAACATCCAAGCAGACACCGCCAGTACTCCGTCATCTATAGGTTGCGTTCTGTGTTACACCTTGCATCACCTTGCATTTGTCAAGGCCAGTGGTGCTGCCAACCAGCAGTTCATGTTGACCAGCCCTGCGTTCACCGAGTACTCGGGCTCCTCGGGCTTTCGTGCCCTGAGCTTCTCCTATCACATGTACGGCAGCAGCATGGGCAGCTTGGAGCTCCAGTACTGGACAGCAGAACATGGCTTAGACACTCTCTGGTCCAGGTCGGGGCAGCAGCAAGATTCCTCCTCAAGTGCCTGGCTGAACGCCCAAGTTGCAGTGCCTCCGCTGGCGGGGTTGCTTCGGTTTGTGGGCACAACTGGATGGGAGAGTGAGGGCGACATGGCCGTGGACAATGTGGTGGCTTCAACTATCACGCCCTTTGGGTGTCTCGTCAGGGTGATTGGTGGCTCTTATAAGGTTCTTTGTAGTACGTGCTCAGATCTTGTTTGATTACCTGGGATTACGCAAAGGAGTTCTGAGACAACACGGGTGGCTGAGGTTCGCCAGCCTAAGCTGCGGCTTCGAGACGGATCTATGTTTGTGGGCCAACACTGATGTTTACGGACTCTGGAAAAGGAGGAATGAGTCCGTGTCGAGTTTTGGCAGTCCAGGCAGGTGACGGCGAAGATTTACAGGGCGCCAAGCGGTCGATAACTGTCGTCTGATGCACGGTAGCCGCCATGAGAAAGTGAAACAACGGGAAACATGTGGTTTGAATCCGCAGGGCAGGAGAATGCAAGAGGGTTGAGGGCCTTCTGGAGGCACTCCTGTCATTCCATGCAGCCACCGTAAGAACGATCAAAAAAACAGTGTGTCAACTTTAGTGTGAACTCTAGGGGGTTCCAACGTCAGTGTAAGCAGGGGTAGGTCGATGAAGCTTCGCGGAACCTGCAGCACATTTTTCTCGAGCCGACTTCGTTTCTTGGACGAGAACCGCGTTCTTGCCTAGGCACGGCCGCGCTCGCCATTCGTTAATGTGAATTGGTCGTCGCTCTGGGACCTCAGGGCTCACCAAATGCGAAACTGTCATCGTTTTGTCATCTCCTTTGCTCTTTCTGTTGGGCGTGTCCGAAATGAATGCTCTTGCATGTCCCTTTGCCCTCACACTGCTGTTTTGGGTCTATGCTGGCATATTTTTTATATCTTTACATGGCTCACCTCGGCCGGGCCTCCGAGAAAAAGCGAAAGGTGATAGTTATTATCAGAAGCGTCAGCAGCAGTCCGCTCATCAGCAAGTGTTGGTTTACATTGCTGCTATTTTTTGTGTCTGTGCCAGTCATGTTTCCCTTTGTTTTGATTGCTTTGACATCGACATGAACGTGTTTTATGTACGCTGGCTCTTCTTCATGTTTAGCCGCAAAGGGCAAACAACTGCCTCCTCTGATGCCAAGCTGGTTGGTATCTCGCATCAACATGCCCTTGTCATCAGCAGGCACCGGTCTAGCAGCTGCAGCCGAAGGCTCCTACTACGTGTTCACGGAGGCAGGGGCCCTCGATCTGGCTGATTCGTGCGAACGACCCTGTAGTCTTGTGTATACTGCTCGGGTTGACGTAGTTGGAACATAAGCTACATCACCGTCTGCTGAGGATGTAGGCCCTGATCACTATCATGGCTCACGTCCCCTGACGCAGTTCTCAAAAGGCATAGCCAGCAGACAAACTACTTTCATGTCACATCTGCACGGGCATTACGCTGTCAAGGCCAACTGGAGGAACTTCCTCACCAACCACTTCGTGTTGACCAGCCCCATGTTCAACGAATCCTCAGGCTTGCTTGGCCTCAGCTTCTCCTATCACATGTACATACCCTTGAACGTCTTTGTCAGCGAGTTGTGGCTTCAGTGCTGGACGGCTGAAAATGGCTGGGACACACTGTGGTCGAGATCGGGGCCTCAGCAGGAAAACGCTTCAATTCCTTGGCTGAGCGCCCAAGTAGTTGTCCCTCTAAGGGCAAGGGTCCTTCGGTTTGTGGGCACAACTGGTGATGTTGCCGTGGACAATGTGGTAGCGGCAACTATCACGCCTCTTGAGTGCCTCGTCAGATTTGGCAAATTGGTGACCCTGAGCTTGTCATTGTAAATGCTTGGGCACACCGCCTCCGCCGACGTGCGTGTCCCGTCCACAGTCCAAGTTTCCAGTCCGAAGTCGCTGAAACAGACACTGGCCCACCCCGCCCCCCAAAACCTTGAACCGGCAGCATACATGAGTGGGCGCCTTATAGGCTTGCTGGAGAAGAAAAGGGGTCGGTGACGCTCCGTTGGGTTTCTCGCGGCACTACTGTAACAGTTGTGAGAGCGACAGGTGGACTAAGTTATCTCCCACTTGGGTGAACATACCCTGGATGCTGCGACGCCCGTCCGGGACTGGTGGACTCATTTTGTCTCTGGTGTCGATTTGTGACTTGATACATTTTTGTGTCCGATTTGTCTTCCACAGATCTCACTTTGTGGAAGTGACAGCATTTCATGGATCATGGATGCTGTCCCTGGATGCTGTGCTGCCCGCTTGGGACTGGCGGACTTATTGGCTTTATTTGATTTGTCCTCCGACCTTGTCTCCGTTTGTGAAGTGCTACCCATCTGGGCCGGTGGAGCCATGTGTCTCCCACTTGTCTGCTTTTGTGGCCTGGGGCAGAGCCAAGATGCTGTGACGCTCGTTCGGGACTGGTGCATTTGGTCTGTTTTCGGCTTTAACCATCTTTAAACGCCATGCTCTCATCTTGCACTCTTTCACAGGGGAAAGGCAGCTGAATGCATTCAGACACGGACCAATAATGCATCCTGCATTTGGTTTTCGAGCCCCTGAGGCCTTTGTCCTATTTTGTCCTGTCCAAGCAGGGCCAGATGTATTGTGGTTGTAGAAGGGCCCAGCTGCCCGAAAACCTTGAGCCAAGCTGCAAGACATGGTTCTTTCCAGGCTCCTTCCTTACAATGCCGAAGCTATCTTCAGAATGTTCAGGGTCTCAGTGTCTGTTTGTGTACAAATAAGCAGGTAAACCGCAGAGTCTATGAACCCAGCCAACACGAGACTCACCAGACTGCATCACCAGGGAAACCCTTGCCAAATGGATTGTTCGGATTCGGATGCTGCGCCGGCAAATTCGCGTGCTCGTGTGTTTGTTGCCAAGTGAAGCTTGGGTAAGGTGGGAGCTCCCAAGAAATCCAAGAAGGCAACAGGCCTCGGCGGGAGGGCCTTTTGAGTTCTGGATTACAGCTTCCCCAAACGAGCTTGGGAGCCTTTTCAGATCTTGTTGCAATTTAAAATGCTGCGCATCGCCCGCTTGGCCCAGCCCGGCACGCCGCGACTTTACTTTAGCAGTGGGGTCAGGCGCGGAGAGACCTTGACGTTGCAGTTCGACGGTGTTTTGCCACGCAGCCGGGTGAGCGATGCCCTAAATACATGTGGGGGGGGGGGTGGGAGGGGGTTTGGGCGGGGGGCAAGGGGAGAGGCGCGTGAGGAGTGGGGAGGGGTTTTCGAGGAGGAAATCAAGGGGTCCCATTAGCAGTCTGAATCCTCGAGAATATATGCGCAACAGTACAGCGTCAACAGTGGGGACAATGGGGCTGAGGTTCGCCAGCCTCAGTTGCGACTTCGAGACGGATCTATGTTTGTGGACCAACACAGCTTCAACGCTCTGGACCAGGACATCTGGGTCCACGCCGAGTCCAGGCAGGTGACGGCGAAGCTTTACAGGGCGCTAGTCGGTCGTCTGATGCAGCATTGTGCTTTCGCATCATATGTTTGGAGCCCGTCGGGCAACCAGCGAAGCCCCAACATGCCACAAGAGATTTCAAGGACAGTGCAAGCGGGTTGAGCGTTGTTGAAGCAGGGGTACGCAAGAGCGAAAGAACATCAAATACGAGAGGTATGGGATGGTATGAGGATCCTAGGAATGCAAGCTGCCGGTGTTGATGCGCCAAATCATTGTGCTAGTGGCTTGATCCAGTCGCACGCGTTCCAATGCTTTCACTGCGAACAATGTGTGTTAGGTCCCATTGGTTTCCTTCATGTTTAGCCACACGATCGGGACTGTGTAGGCCACGGAGTCACCTTATCCCGTCAACAGATTGGTACTTCACATCAGCATGCTGTTACCAGCAGGCACTGGTCCAGAAGCCGCAGTCGAAGGCTCTTACTACATGTATGCGCAGGCAGGCTGTGCGTGCAGTGGAAGCAATACTAAAGCTATGCGGAGACGGGAGGGACTACACGTGACTAATGTTGCGCACTGTTGAGTAGGGGCCTGCTGAATTGAGTCAAGTTTGCTGGGCTATTCAGGATACCGTGATTGTTCGGGGGTCTAGGGTGGGGTCTGTCTGCAATTATGGCAAATCCGTCCGGCTCGCCTTTAAAACCATTTGCTGGGCATCGCTGTCCCTTGAAAATTGATATAAACTCCTCCCACTATTAAAATCATATGAAACCCGTGGACCGCATAAATTTGGCGAAAACTTAAGGATGTAGGGCCCCCATCGTGTCTCAGGTCCTGTTGTAGTGTTCTCACAAGGTATACAAGTTGTGCAAGCATTGCACAGTTCCTGAACTGCGAACGTCACATTTTTGTGCACGGGCACTGCGTTGTCAAGGCCGACGGGGCTGCCAACAAGCAGTACATGCTGACCAGCCCTGCGTTCAACGAATCCTCGAGCTTTCGTGCCCTGAGCTTCTCCTATCACATGTACGGCAGCAGCATGGGCAAATTGGAGCTCCAGTACTGGACAGCAGAAAATGGCTGGGACGCTCTGTGGTCCAGATCGGGGCAGCAGCAGGATTCTTCCTCAAGTGCTTGGCTGAGCACTCAAGTTGAAGTGCCTCTGCAGGCGGGGTTGCTTCGATTTGTGGGCACAACTGGAAGCGACAGCGAGGGTGACATGGCCGTGGACAATGTGGTGGCTGCAACTATCACACCTGTTGAGTGTCTCGTCGGGTTGGGTGATTGTCTTTCGGTGGATGCATGTTCTCAGCATCTCTGAAGAGTCTTGTCAGATTTCGTTTGATCAGTTTGGGTTACACAAGGGAGTACAGAGTTAACATGGGGAACCCGAGGTTCGCCAGCCTTAGCTGCGACTTCGAGACGGATCTATGCTTGTGGTCCGATACGGCTTCAAAACTGTGGACAAGGCTGTCTGGTTCCACGCGGAGTGGAGGCAGGTGCATTTTTCAAGGACAAGTCGTGCAAGGCTGCAGCAAGTGGAAGAAGGTGTGAAAACGTTTAGTTACAATGCAGCTGGATCCGACAGGCCATGCGATAGTAAGGGCAGTGAGGGCTATTGATTGAGGCAGTCCTGGCCAGGGATAGGAAAGCTTTTGCTGGACGGGGGGGGGGGTTCCCCATACTCAGCGTTTTGGCCATGGCATGGCCTACGCTCGCTGCATTCACACAACTCGCTGACTCAGTCATTCGCCCTAATTTCCACATTCCCTCTTCAGTTTCCTTCCCCACACCTCTTCGCAGCCTCTCTCGTTCCTTTCCTCCTCTCTCGCTTCTTATCTTCTTTTTTCCTCTTTCTCATCATTCCGGATAGGACGGCCGCCGAGCTGGCCCCCCCCCCACCCCCGAGAAAAAAGAAACAGAAATGAAAAAAGCAGGTCAAGAATGAAGCTCTCTCCCCCTCTCGCGCTCTCTCTCCTTCATGAATTTCGCAAAAGAGGATCATCTTGGGGGCGCCAAGGCTTCCGCCTGCAGGGCTTTCAAGGTCTTAGCATGTCTTAGCTTCAGCCACTCATCCAGAGCATCCCTCCCCCCAGTACCGTTGTAGCGCTCCATCCGTCCACTGCCGCCACCGAACTCTTCCATACTCCTCGCTCGATGCGACCGCGGAGCGGGGTCACGGCACCTCAAAAGCCTCAACGTGTAGGAATGTGTAGGAGGCAAATGCTTCG